TCAGGCAATAAATTGAGCCACTTGTGGCATCAGGATACCTCCATCTTTGTCCCTGTCATGGCTGAGATACATTGAAGGTTCCCCCTTCCTCCTGTTTAACAGGAAATCATTACTTCCCTAACACATACTCCTGTCCTGGACACATTATTTCTTCTACTCCCTGCCCATGGGACTGAAACCCGTATCAATTTGCATAGGAGTTTGAGGCAGGTTGGAGAGCAAAAATTATACAATGAATCATGGGCCTCAGAGCCAATGGGTCCAACTGCATAACTTAACAGATGAATCTCTGATTTAACTGAACTGGCCCTGACCTGTTACCTGTTTGTTCTCTGTGCCTTACTTATTGTGCTATTTTTATAGCTATAGTGCTGTAAGCTGAAAACAAGCTGTATCATCACAGGATAAGATAGAAAGAACATAAGGAGCATTGAAAGTTTGCTATAGCATGGTACAGAGCCCTGGATGCAAATTCCTGCCGCTTCCTTATGTTCATCACGTGCTGTACCTGACATCACTGTCCACTTGAAATTGTCACCCTCTTTGCTCTGATCATCATCATCTCTATCACTTTATGCAAATCCACAGAAAGACTCTGATCATTTTAAGAAGGAAAAAAATCCTTCCCCTACTCATCCCCTTTCCTTTCCTCATTTGGACGGATTAAAGTTCATATGCATGTTGCCAATGCATGAGTAACCAGTTATTCATAATTAATCTCTGGGTGTAACCATGTTTTTATCTGAGCTTCAAAGGAATGGATTGCACAAGGTTTTTTCCTTCATCTTTATTGTACACTGATAATATGCTGCCCCATTTCTACAGACACTTGTAAAATAGAGGATTTTCTTCATATTTACATGTTGGCAAAAAAAAAAAACAACAACAAACACCACACTGAATACGTTTTCCCTTAGACTGCTCTGGATTGTCTTCTTCACATAAAGTACATTTAAAAGGCAAATATTTACCCTGCCTAAACAAAAGGTTCTTTCTACACTGCTTGTGTGCGTGTGCAGCAAAGGGAATTTGCCAGGCAGCTGCCAATATTCAGGACCTGTACACAGGCTGGTTTAGCATTTGTATAGCTACGCACATAAGAAACTTGTAGTCTTCAGAAACTCACCTCACCCTCCTGAGCTGTGTGTGTGCCAGCTGGGAAAATCATTATCCAAATTGATAATGGATTTCTCAGAAGAAAACTTCTCAGTTTTCCAATGGGCATCTGTGTTTCAGCATTTCTAACAATATCGTTACTTACATTCAGCCTTCCATTCCCAAAGCTCCCAAGGCATTTTATATGCTATACTCCAGAACTGTTTCACTCCTTAAATCCTAATATTAGGTATATTAAAGGGATGTGAGATAAGATGCAAAAGCAAGAGTTGATTAATGATGCAAGGTTTGCTGAAAAAAAATTGAGATTTTTGGAAGAACTTGAAGGAAAAGTGTGAGAACCTGATGCACAAAAGGAGAAAGGTTGCTACAGATGTAGGGATAGCATGCAGCCATGAAGGGGTTAATGGACAGGCCAGTTATTTTCCCAGCTGTGATTCAGTGATGACTAGCAGCTGGGTTAAAAGGCTGCCACTCAGGCGGAAAGGGATGGTTGACAGAGAGGCTGGGGCTATCCCAAAGAGGTTCCCCAGCAGTAGCCTGGCAAGGAAACACCCAAGGAAGAGATGCAGAGGCCTGCCACAGGGAGATGGGGGTGAGGCTCCTGGGAGATAGTAAAAAGGACATTTCTTTCGCTTCTACCATCTAAGGGAGGGAGGGAGAAGGCCAGACTTCTGGAGGCCCACATCCGACCTTAGAGAGTTTATATAGGGACACGGACTAGCTAGCAGAGGCCCGGAAAGCTGGGAGACTATACTCTTAATGGTCCAGGGTATCAGAACAATCTCTTAGGAACAAGTCCCTTCACAGATAGCCATTAATATAGGCACAGAGTTACAAGTGGGAGAAGAAGACAAAGTAGGCAGAGCTTAGCACATGAGTAGCAGTGGGCAAGGGAAGCACTATGCAAAGGCCTGAAAGTGAGGATGGGACATTTGGACTTGAGGTGAATTGAAACAGGAAGTTAGCAAATGGACTCTGGGATGGGGTGACCTATTTAGAATGGCAAGCAAGGAACATTACTTGAGCTGCAATATGTGGTGTGGACTGAAGCAGGAAGAGATTGGGATACTTGTGAAGAGAAGGTCACAGTTGCCCATCGGAGCAATATGGAGTGTGAGGGCCAAAGTATTACCAGTAAAAAGAAAGAAAGTGGCAGACTTGGAAATTTCAAGTACTTTTTAAAAAGAGGGGAGGCCAAACCTTTGACATCAGCCATTCAACAATAGTTAGGCTGTGAGCAGCAAGAATCCTCCCCCTTTTCCTCCTCAGTGCTATTTTAGCTCCTATCCCAGGATTAAATGTTTTATTCTATGAGACTCTTTTTATTGGCCTGGGTTCCCAAATGAGAGATCTCTTCTTTTAGCTCTGCTTTACTACCTTGTCAGCTTTGATGGTATGTCCCCACCACCATGTGCACAATACACTCTCTTCACCTCCCTTTGTCTTTACTGTTACAAATATATAGACTTTATCCCCACCCCAGCACTAAATATAAGGTACTCATAATGAGAAAGTTCTCCACATATCCCCATTCTCCCCTTATTTCCATAAAAAAGGAAAAGACCAATTGCAAGAACGCCTTCCCCTTTGTTGTCCTCTTCTAAAAGCATCCTCCTCCCCTATATCTAGAACCATACCATATAAGAAAGTAAATACAGTGCGGAATTTTAAGTAAGATTACAATTCAAACACTATTATTCACCAAATGGATGGTAAACAAATGTCACAAAGGGTTCCTAAAATGTACTGTGTGTTCCAATTATGTATCCCCTCTTGTACTATAAGGCTCTACCAATATCCAAGTCTAGGAGCCATATCACAGAGGGGGAGTCACCAGATCTTGGAGTGCTATGGCCCAAGATTGCTCTAATCCCACCCTGAGACTCAGAGGAACTCAAAGAGAAATTGGCATAATCTCCTGACTAAATGGTTGATTATTAAAACAGTACAAAGTCATCAGGTCCCTTATCCCTAATAAGGGAAGGGTTTTGTTCCCCCCCCCCCAAAAAAAAAAAACCCAAACTTATGGAGTAGAAGGTATCAATACAAAAGAAAAAATCAGGACATTTCCATCTAATTCTCAAATCGTAAAAAAACAACAACAAAAGGAAATTCTCTTCCCTGACTAGCTACCCATATAAATTTATACACACTACAATTCTCATTTCTAATGGCCAAGGTATGAAAGATGAAATGACCCACTATGCCAAATTAAAGCAGAGAGAGATTACATATGAGGCCCTGAGGGGAGAGTATATCTTCTTCCATGCTGAGAGCATGGCAGATATTAGAAGCCATGTATTACCTTCTCTACATTTCTGCTTTTCCACTCCAAAGTCTTTGTCTTAGCACATAATTTTGATCTGAGGATGAAGAAGAGAGTGGTTGTGTGGACCCTCAAAAGCATAGGACCTCATTCAGCCGTACAGACTGAATAAATGCCTCTGTAAATTACAGGTTCCCCCATCCCCATCCCTCCTCCTTTGTCCTGGGCCCTCCTCTTATCTCATTAGCCCTTAACTTGTGCCAACAACAAGAGCAAAAGAATGATTGCAACCTTCGCAGTTTAATTCTAGCCTAGCTGTTATGCAATGGGCTAGACCTGAAATCCTTTAAGGCAGAGCATTAGGGATGACAGAGAAGGGACTCAGGGACTGTGCTTGACTTTTCTCTGCTACAGTGGTGCCCTACTCTTTCCAAGCTACTGAGTCAGTTTCTACCATTAAATCTTACCTAGAAACCTTTGTCCTTATCATATAAAGCAGTTTATAGGTGTATTTCTAATATACATTTTCCCATTACACTGTACCCTCTTCTTCTAGATGTCTTTGCATATGGAGAAGGGAGATTTAACTGATAACCCCACACTTAGGACTACTGCACAACAAAGTGGAGAAGCACACATGAATTTCCACTCATCTTCCATAGGACTCATCCAGTTGCTGTTACTTGTGACTTTTAACTAAGATCCCATCAATTTGGGTTTCTTCACACCCCTCCGGCAGAGAAGGCTCTTATGAATGAGGTGGCTTAGGTGCACTGTGACTGTGGTGCAATGGATGTAGTTCAGACACCAGCTGGAATGAAGAACGATTGTCATCAGTCATTTCGTAAATTGTGACGAAGCTGAAAACTTTAACGGGGGATGGAATAGACTGGTCATATAAGAGAAAAGAAGTCATTTAGATGAGTACTATCAGATAATATAAATTATATTGATTGTGAGGAATGTTGTAAGACTTTTGTTGGGGCATACTATCTTTAGTTTGTTCAGGGAGCTAAGAAGCTTAACAGCTCCTCTGTCTGTAGATCTGTAGACCATTGTCATCAAGAGGACTGTGGTTAAAAAGAGGGAAGATTTTCTCTCATCTCTTTGTAATGTGCATGCCAGCCCCAACACCTGTGGTACACAGCAAATCACTTGTAAGAACAGTTTCAATATATATCAAATCTGTAAACTGTTGCATATTGAAATTCTGCATGTATTCAGTTGCTACATATACGTATGTCAGTGATCAGGGGCTTAGGTCAACAAAAACAAATACTTTATCCCTCTTCTCCCTTACACATACAAGCCAGTTGTAAACTGCTTTATAATGCAAAACTGTATGAGCAAGCAGTAATACAGAATAGAGTCTCTGTTCATCAGGCAATGCCCACACAATTTAGATGTGAATAAAACAATCAAACTATTATCTTTTTAATACAAATCATTTCACTAGAGAAGAGCAGCACTATTCTAAGTAATTGGAACAAACAACAATTTCTTTGTAGCCGGCTCCACAAAGCTGAATAAATGTCAAAGACACTCTGGCTCGCTCCAGCAATAGTGAAAATTCATTGTTATTAGTACTGGTTTCACAGTCTCATGAAGTCTTGATTAGTGGGCTGCTGGCTAAGTCAAGTGGAATGAAGCAGGATAAATGCAGGTGTGCAAAGGAGAAAGGGGGAAAGACTGGGAATAGGACAGCCACAGAAGAAAGTTTCTGGCTAGCAAGCAAGCTCTCAGACCTACAAAAAGATACCCGTAGTACAGCAGCAGCAGCTTGGACAAATAAGAAAAGGTATTTAACATTTTAAAATATTGCCATTATTTTAATTAAATAAAAAGCTTGCAACCAGATCACTTCCTACTTTTGTCCAGTCAGGTCTTACAAGACAAGTCATTATGAGCTGAGTCAATATTTGGCTGGGAGACTTCCCAGGAATACTTAACTGCTACCGAAAGTTGAGCTGGTCATTCAAGAGGCAACATTCCTCCATCTGAGTCAGAATTGAAAATGAGCAAGCATGGGACAAGGGGGTGCCGTGAAGCTGGAGTTGCCATTTTTTGGATGAAATGGCAAATTAAGGTCCTGTTCATATGTAGTAACTGAAAGTTACCATTGTATTCCTTATACAAGAAAGGCTGCTAACCCCCATTTCCTGTCCAAATTCCAACTTGAACGATTACACTCTACCTACCTAAATTGCTCACAGAGTTGCAGCTGAATAGAAGCATTCTTCAGTTCCTGTCCTAAACTGTTGCTGTGCTGTTTCAGAATTCCACATTTCACTTTTGTAGAGAGCGGTGCGGGCCGAGGGACGTGCTGGCAGCCACTTCCCGCAGCCCCCATTGGCCTGGAACGGCGAACCACGGCCAGTGAGAGCTGCAATCAGTTGAACCTGAGGATGCTGCAGGTAAACAAACTCTCCCGGCCCACCAATGGATTTCCCTGACAGGCCACGTGCCAAAGATTGCCGATCCCTGGTCTATGGCCTTGATCATGCTCCCATTGACTACAATAGGAACAGGCTTGGGACTTAACAGAGCATCCCATGGGGAATAATCTTTGAAACTATGCATTAAATTCCCATTTATCCTGAAGAGAGTGAGGTGGATTTTTCCACTGGAGGCTGTATCTTAGGAACCAAGGAGCATTTTTATTAGTGTATTTTATTGTTTGTATCACCTAAAAATAAACTGTACTGCATAACCATAGCACACCATTGAAATAAGGGTTGATAACATCAAGATTCCTGGCATGTTAAACTATTCTAAGTAGTGCTATTTTAAAAAGCTATAAATCTTTATACATAGCACTGAAACTATCAACCATACAAAACCAGAAGAACAGACAACACAAACAGATAGAAACATCAAGTGATCAGACTTCTGGCTGCAAAACAAATTGCTCGGGAATGTAAATGGCATGCTAACCTTTTAAGAGAACTCTTGACAGGGTTGTTCCTAACCTGAGGACACTAGCTAAATTCTGGGTTTGTACATTCCAGTGTATCAAAAGGAGGCTAAAGGGCATGTTTCCAGTATTGTGCATCTATGTTAAAAACTGATTCAATATAAATAAACCAAGATATTTTACTAGTTAACCCAATCATGATGATCCACAGAAGATCTGTTGATAAAAGGATTATGTTTGTGATTATCACTGTATTCACAGGTCAGAGAGGAAAAAGTATGACAAAACTAACATTTTTCATTGTTTATGCATAATATCCCCCCTCGTTTTAAATTTCTCTAATCTGAGGTTCCACAATAATGAAATAAGATAATATGCAGAGATTGCTACAAAATTGGCTGATATGAAACCTTTCTGTTGCCCACAAGGACTGCAATAATTAATCAAATTATTTAATAGTAAATTAGTGTTTTTGAAGGGTGCTGGACTGGCACCCCTAAAACTGAAGTCCTGTAGGTCCACAACACAGGTAAAAAGGTATAGAGAATCCTACAGTAGAACCTCAGAGTTACCAACACCTTGGGAATGGAAGTTATTCTTAACTCCGAAATGTTTGTAACTCTGAACAAAACATTATGGTTGTTCTTTCAAAAGTTTACAAGTGAACATTGACTTAATACAGCTTTGAAACTTTACTATGCTGAAGAAAAATGCTGCTCTCTCTTTATTATTTAGTAGTTTACATTTAACACAGTACTGTACTTGCTTTTTCGGGGAGGGGAGTCTCTGGTGGTGTCTGAATGTTTACTTCTGATTCTAAATGAGGGTTGGGGTTGACTGGTCAGTTTGTAACTCTGGTATTGGTAACTCTGAGGTTCTACTGTAGCTTCTTACTAACAGGTTTGCTTGCTATCAACATTTCTAACCATTTCACGTGATAAAGCAAAACTCGCACTATTGGGAGTGGCTGTGAATGAACCCTGGCTGACTCTGAGCACTTCTTTACACCCCCCGTATAGGACCAGCAACAATTTAGCCCTTCATGCAGAAGACTACATTATTCAGCAGTGCAAGTCCCCCTTCTGGGGATCAGGACACCGGGCTTAGGATGGAAGGGTCCAAGAATTTTAAAGGTCCATTTATACAGTCAAGATTGGTATGTCCAAGACAGGAAGTTGGACAGGAAGTATGTCCAAGACAGGCTAAGCATTTAGGCCAGTTATTGAAAATGTTTGACTCCATCTACATTACAAATTGTAATAATATTATAATTAGTTTAGGAAACCACCGTGTTATAACTGAACCCTCTGACTCAGTTGCATTTCTGGTATGGATGGTCTCCTGAAGAGACACTAACCCTAATTTAAAGTTGGTAGAATCTAATGAGATGTTTTCTAGATTCTAAATGCTGAAGGAGGGAAATTTGAATTCTACTATTTCACTGTGGTGGATTAAGAGAACAAAAAAAATAGTCACTATTTTTGCAAGTTACACACACACATGCGTGTGCATGCACACACAATGTATTTTGTGTTGGTTCTGTAGCAACAACAGTTTAGCATTCTCAGAGCTGTATTGAGATTAATAACTTTATGCACAAATTTTTTAGAAGGATCAAATGCCACAGGGTCACGCTAAAAGTAGTGTACCCACAAGGTGCCACAAAATTCCATTGCACCAGCTTGCAGCTGCTGTGTTGAATTTGCTTCACCTGAGGAGCAAGTCTCCACAGCTGCCTACACAGCTTTTAGAAGTTGGGTTTTTTTTTTTTTTATTATTATATCATACTTGAACAATGCAAAGCAATCAAATGCTCGAGAACTGTATTTTCTGTCTTAGTCATCTTATGTTTTGTTTTCTGTACAGTATTTTGAAATAGGGATAGCCAAACTGGTTCAAAATAAATTAGAATTGTTTAGTCTGGGTGTATCTCTCAGAGACAGCACTGTCTCTGAAAGGACTCAATGCACTGTTGGGGATCTGGAAGTCTTATGCTCTAATTCTGGCTGTTAATGACTCCAGAACCTTGGGCAATATATTTCTCTGTCTCAGTTTCCTTATTATAACATGGAATTAATACCTACCTACCTTACAGGTGTAGTATGAAGATTCATTAACGTTTGTGCAGGATTTTGAACATATGAAGTGATATGTTAAGTGTTATGCGGCAACATTAAAAAGGAGCATCTTTTCAAACTAAGATACTCCAAGTTAGTTTCAAACAGGCCAAGAGACATTAACATGCAAGAAGCACCTGCAGAAGTACATATCACGGACATTTCCTGGTTCCTTATAAAAATTAGAGACAAAAAGGACCTACTAGATATAATAATCCATCTCCTTGTGGTAATACAGGATTGTTAAACCACCTTTGTTCTGCTGTCCCTCAAACTAATTAATTTCACTGTAATTTCATGGATTTGGGGTGTTTTTCCCAGCCCCTTTACACAACTTTTTCGAGATATAGAACAGGACAAATATAAGACTGGAAATTAAATAAAATCTGACACACTATGGTCACTTATAAGTTACAGGTATTTGGAAATTGGATAGGTAAAAATTAATTGGTAACCATGGCAAACAAAAGTCTATCTAGCTCTGCAACCACTAGGATTTCATTTTCTGTGTCCTGAACCTAAATTTCCAAGAATCTGCTGTCTGTTGCAATTTTGTAAAGCAAAGTTGATGCAGCATGTTATGCAGGTGACTCATCCTGTGCACCTTCATAGACACTTTCCTTTTGCTCTTTAATATGTTCTTATTTCTTTTTATCTAAAATAAGGGCTGGCCTACACACAAAACTTGCACCAAACATAACGTATGAATGAAACAAAATTTTGGTGCAAGACTGTGTGGGTACATTCTTATTTTGGAATAAAATGACTAAACCTGATTTAGCTGAAGTTAGTTTGTTGCTGTCTTTAGCTCAAAAAAAAAAAGAAAGAAAGAAAGAAAGAAAAGAGTCTGGTCACTTATTTTGAAGCCAATTTAAGTGACTGACTGAACTAAACTAAACTGATATAAGCCTGTTGCAAACCAGTTTAAGTGTCCCATTTAAGTTGGTTTGAAAACAGATTTTAGTTATATGATATAACTTGTGGGTAGGAAAGGCCCCAGAATGAAAGAACATGGTTACTCTCTGTGTAAAGAAAAAATATACCAGATTTAAACAAAGCTAATACTTTAGCATTTTGCCAAGATCAGAACTATCCAAAGGAATGTTTACTTCTTTTTTTTAAGCAAATGTAGCTATTAAGAAGCTTATTGTGATCTTACAGCTGCACAAGCCATAGTATGATATAAAGGTGATTATACTAAAAATAGGCTTAGGACTAGTGCTACAATTAAAGCATGAAGTAGGGTCTCTTCGCAGTCTTTCAGGAAGATATGTATTCTAAATGTACATAAGCTTCCTTGAAAGGGACATAATTTTTAAAAAATGGAGTGGATAAGAGGAGAGCAGATTAATATGTGGAATAATTAACGCTTTGTTTGTTCTCATGCACAATCCAAATCCTAAGAACTTACTCCCCTTAACACCTGCTGACCCGCTCAACTATCAAATCCCCATCCCTTCAAAGAGAATTGCCTCTCATGCACATTTCCCTGTGGCCTTGTCTTCACTAGTCTATGTGATGTATTGGAAACTTAAAATTACAAGCTCTCTCTTCAATAAGTTGTTTCCTGATCCTGCTCGCAGGCTAGGGGACTCTGTAGAGAAAAGTGCGCCAATTCAGAGTCAGTCTCCAGAGTGGCAGCTTATAGTAAGGCAGGTGGGGTTGTGCTTGTTCTAGGGTTCTTGTCAGTTATTCCGAATTCTAGGAAATAAAGTAGCATTTTGTTGAAGCCTTTCATCAAGTTACAGAAAAATTAGATAAAAATGTGTTTTTGCCACAAATGCAAGTATTCTGGGGGGAAATCTCCCACTGTTGCACTGTCACTAATGTAGCTCCACCTCTGATAGCAATCGTAGGAGCAGTACTTCGGCACAGGCATTTCTACCACCGTAGCATCGAGATCTGCTCTCAGCAGGCTTAGATGACACAGTGGTAAAAAATGCCATAGGCCAGCCTTCACTAGTACTCCAGCACACCCCCTGGAGGAATTGCACTGGTGGTAGTTCACTATAGTACAATGGTGATAGATTTACCAACAAAAAAGTGGGGGAGGAGGGAGAGCTAGTGTAAACACAGTTAAGTAGAAGTGATTGGAAAATAGTTTTTTTCTGTGGAAAATTTTGACTTTTCCTCTAAAACCAACTTTTTTTTTTTAAAAGGAAAGCTGACAGCCCATGCAATTTTGTTTAGTTAAAAAAAATTCCATCCAAAAAGGTCTCAACAGAAATTTTTTCACCAGTCACACTTCCAAGCCTCAGTCTCCTGTTTACACCCAAGCCTTGTCATTTTCCTTACCTACTGGACTGCAATGGTTCTGATACTGTGCAGAAAGTCTTGGATGCTTCTCCCGATATAACTTACAGGAGCAAAGCCTTCTGGGGCATATTAGAACAGCTCCAAGTTGGTAGACCTACTGGGTAGAAAATAAATGGTTTCAGAGACTCTGAATACACTAGAAGTGCTGCAGGCAAGGATTGTGATGAAGTATTATAGCAATATAGTACCACTACTGCTTTTTGCCATGGAAGACAGAAAGTGACTTCTTACCTCATAACTTCCCTTTCAGTCTGACCACCCTGTGCTCATCTGAGATTAAGGCTAACTGTGACCTAGATCAATGAAAAATTCAGGCCCACAGAACCATTATGTGAAGAAGGGCCAGTTGTTACAAAATAAAAGATCCATCGTACTAGGGAGAAAAGGAGTACTTGTGGCACCTTAGAGACTAACAAATTTATTTGAGCATAAGCTTTCGTGAGCTACAGCATCCGATGAAGTGTGCTGTAGCTCACAAAAGCTTGTGCTCAAATAAATTTGTTAGTCTCTAAGGTGCCACAACTACTGCTTTTCTTTTTTCAGGTAAGGTGAGCTATTACCAGCAGGAGAGAAAAAAAACCTTTTGTAGTGACAGTCAAGGTGGACCATTTCCAGCTGTCAACAAGAACGTGTGAGGAACAGTAGGGAGGCAAAAAGCTATAGGTGTCTTAAGAGCACAGGGCCTAGATAGGCTGATCTACAGGGTGGACCTTTTCAGCACCTGTCCTGCTGACTTAGAGATAGGAAGTATTCTCCTGGTTGGTGACAAATGGGTCTGAAAACAAAGGGCCTAATTCAAGGAGTATCCTTGAAATAAATTACTACAACAAAATAAAATTACTAACTCCAACAGCCAACAATACTCCTGGACACCCCACCCTCCCCCAGTAATACCATGCACACTACACAGACCTCGACGCCCACCAGACCCTTCCTCTGCAAAAGCCCACATAAATAGATGCAACGTAAGAATGGCCATACTAGGTATGACGCAGTGAGGGATTTTTTTAATGGTTTGGATGAATACTGTGTATGTCTCAGTTTTCCCTTTGTGCTGTATGTTTCATGATGTGGTGGGAGAGGGTGTTTGTTGTTGCAGAGGACCAGGTGTGACCTCACCTAGCCGCCTGGACCATGGACAATGGTCTGGACATAGTCTCTAAGGTGCCACAAGTACTCCTTTTCTCTTTGAGGTCTGGACACTGTGAAACTTACCAGCTGGTGACCAGGAGGCCCATCTTGGAAGCCTGCCAGTTTCAGCTAGTGGGAGAACAAAGAGCTGAAGAGAGAGGGCCCAGATGATCTGTCTGTCTGGGAAAGAAGACAAAGGATAGAGGAGAGGCTTTGGGGAAGATGATATAAGGTGGTCAGCTGGAAGGATGCTGCTTCTGGACTGGGAACAAAGAGAGGTGAGGGCCCACTCGGATGGTGGACAGACCCAGATCTACTATGCTGACACTTTCTAGGCTCAAGGCCTCCGAGAACTTCCTGTGCTGTGGTCCAGATAAGAAATAAACCCTTCTGTTTTTACACTGCCTGAAAGTCATTGCAGTCTAGAGATCAGGGTTGCATTATTCTGTCTGGGTGTGGAGGCCCTGGGGCAGTGGTTAGCAACCTGTGGCCTGCGGGCTGCACACAGCCCATCAGAGTACTCCACTGGTGGGCTGCGAGACAGTGTTTACAGTGACCGTCCGCAGCTCCCAGTGGCCGCATTCGCTGTTCCTGGGCAATGGGAAGCAGCGTGGGCTGCAGGGACGTGCTGGCTGCCACTGCCCACAGCTCCCATTGACTAGGAACGGCGAACCACAGCCACTGGGAGCTGCAGGCGACCGTGCCTGCGGACAGTCAATGTAAACACTGTTTCGTAGCCAACCAGCAGATTACCTGATGGGCTGCATGCGTCCTGCCCACCACTGCCCTGTAGAGAGTGAGTGGACCCATGGAGGGGCTCATGGAGTGAGACAGACATGCTGAAGGCTCAGAGGTGTGGTTCCAGGAGGCGGTGGGGCCAGGGGCCCTAACCCTAGAGAGAGCGTGCAATCCTCAGGGAGGGCTGTCACACTGAAGGGGGTTCTCCCAGGGACTGTACAGAGCCAGTAGAGCACTGGTCCTGAGAGTCCGACACTGAGTCACACCAATGGTCCACCTACCCCTGTATCCCACCTTCTGACAGTGGCTAGCACCAGATGCGTTAGAGGGAATAAACAGAACAGGGCAATTTATCAAGTGATCCATCCCCTGTCATCCAGTCCCAGGTTCTGGCAGTCAGAGGTTTAGGAAAACCCAGAGCATGGGGTTGCATCCCTGACCACCTTGGGTAATAGCCATTGATGAACCTATCCTCCATGAACTTCTCATTCTTTTTTGAACCTAGTTATATTTTGGCTTTCCCCTGACAAATTCCACGGGTTGACTGTCCGTTGGGCAAAGAAGTACTTCCTATTGCTTGTTTTGAACTTGCTGCCTATTAATTTCATTGCGTGACCCCTGGTTTGTATGTTAGGTAAAAAGGTAAATAACATTTCCTAATTCATTTTCTCCACACCATTCATGATTTTATAGACCTCTATCATATACCCTTAGTCATTTCTTTTCCAAGCTGAAAAAGTCCTACTCTTTTTATTCTCTCATCTGGAAGCTGTTCCATACTCCTAATCATTTTTGTTGCCTTTCTCTGTACCCTTTCCCATTCTAATATATCTTTTTGAAATGGGATGACCAGAACTGTACACAGTATTCAAAGTGCAGGCATACCATGGATTTATATAGAGGCATTATGACATTTAGTCTCATTTTCTAGCCCTTTCCTAATGATTCGTAAACTTTTTTGACTGCTGCTGCACATTGAGTAGATGTTTTCAGAGAACTAGCCACGATGACTCTAAGATCTCTTTCTTGAGTGGTAACAGATAATTTAGAGCTCATAATTTTGTAGTTATAGTTGGGATTATTTTTTCCAATGTGCATTACTTTGCATTTATAAATATTAAATTTCATCTGCCATTTTGTTGCCCAGTCACCCATAATTGTAAGATCCCTTTGTAACTCTTCACACTCTGCTTCAGCTTAACTATGTTGAGTTATTTTGCATCATCTGCAAATTTTGCCATCTCACTATTTACCCCTCTTCCAGATAACTTATGAATATGGTGAACAGCACTGGTTCTAGTGCAGATCCACTGTGAAAACTGGCCATTTATTCATACCCTTTGTTTCCTATCTTTTAACCAGTTACTGATCCATGCCAGGACCTTCTCTGTTATCCCATGACTGCTTACTTTGCTTAAGAGTTTTTGGCGAGTGACTTTGTCAAAGGCTTTCTGAAAGTCAAAGTACATTATATCCACTGGATCACTCTTGTCCACAACTTTACTGACCCCCTTAAAGAATTCTAATAGATTAGTGAGTCATGATTTCCCTTTACAACAGCTGTGTTGACTCTTCCTCCCACATATTTTATTCATCTATGTGGCTGATAATTCTGTTCTTTACTATAGTTTCAACCAATTTACCTGGAACTGAAGTCTTACAGCACAAGATCATAGCAAATGCCCTGCCAGCAGTCCCATCTCTTTTAAAGTGAAGGGGTACCATCCTGATTGCCTCTGGCGATCATACCTGTAGCAGTAGGTGGAAGGAAATGGACTAGGGGCAGGAAGATCACAGAGCTTTATAGTGTAGTGCTGGGGGTTGGATGAAATCTTGTTGAAGCTGGCTGGTGTAATAGCCACCCGTCATTCAGGACAAGTGTAAGAAAGAGTTAGGTTTCTTTTGGAGTAAGATACCTGAAACAATAAGACCCACTGCCTAAGACGTAGGCAGGGGTAAAAGTAAGTCGAGTGACTTACCGGTACTCTGGCCCCCAGAAGGGCCGGGGCCTAGAGTGGAAGGGGCGGCGTTGAGGGGGTCAGAGCCAGCCCCAGCCCCCCCGAAAGGTAAGTGCCCCCCCACCCCACCGGGGTAGCAGCAGCAGCCCAGGGCTCCGGGGGCTATTTAAAGGGCCCGGGGCTCCCCGCTTCTACCGCCCTGGCCCTTTAAATAGCCGCCGGAGGCCTGGGGAAGCAGCGGTGGGGCTCCAGTGGCTATTTAAAGGGCCCGGGTGGTAGAAGCAGGGGAGCCCCAGGCCCTTTAAATAACTGCTGGAGCCCTGCAGCCGCAACCCCAGGCCTCCAGCAGCGGGGCTCTGGAGGCAATTTAAAGGGCCTGGGGTTCCAGTCACTGCCGGGAGCCCCAGGCCCTTTAAATTGCCCCCTGGGGAAGCCGAGCTGCCCCAGTACCGTGCACCGGCTCTTGCCAGTATGCCGTACCGAGGCGTACCGGCTTACTTTCACCTCTGGATGTAGGCCACACACAAGGATGGTCAGGCACTGAGCTATAGGAGTGGTTGGTGAGGGGAGACTGAATGCTAATGCAGCAGGCTGGATATTGTTTTTGATGGAAGCATGTGTGAGAGTAGATGAAGTCAGAAACACCAGAAGTAGACATAAAAGGGAGGATAAAGCTAAGGAGATCCCAAGAAGCACTTGTCATGTAACCCTTGAGAGAAATGTAATAGCTTTTTGGGTAGAGTACTGGCTGGAAAAAAGAGGCTTGGAATATTAAGCAAGGAAACTGTCTCCTGTGTGATTCCTACTATGTTCAGGGAACCAGAGCTGTGTGTACACTCCTCCTGAATAAACATCATTTCATCAAAGAAATACTTAGCTCCACCACCAATTTCTCCTCCTAACGAAAACAACCCACAAGACCCCAAATACTGGTTAACCACTCAGGTTAAAAGGGCTACTAATAGATTTGAACTTGAGTCTCTAGAGATGATCTGCAGAGTTTTTGCACCAAATTAACTAGAGACTGTAAGAACTGATTTAGTTAAATCGGTGTAACCCCTTCTGAGGATGCAGTTATAGCAGCATAAAAGCATTGATAGCAGTATAGCTATGCTAAATTGTTCAGGTAAGCTAGGCTATTCTGGTATATCACCATGAAGGGGTTTAACTGCATTTCTCCCCACCCCCAGGGAATTGCACCAGTTTAACTAAATCGGTTTTTCTACTGCTTTACAGAAATGGTTCAAAACTCTGTTGAGTCAGGAAAGGGAATATGAAGCCACATACCCTGGGGTTAAAAATTAGAGGGCTTCCTCACAGGAGTTTGCGTGTCCTATGTTCGCACAGCTGGACTTCAAACCTTCGCACGTCACCCCTCCCCATCCCCGAAGACGCAGTGTAAACACCACCTCCAAGCAAGTCTCATGACTGCAAGTGTGTGTCGGCGGGGCTGCCCCCGCTGTGCTTGGCCAGGGGATGGACGGGAGGACACACGCAGCGGGCTTTCATGCCCATTGCAAACCGCAGCAGTAAACAGCCCCCGGCCGGCTCGGCTCCCGCCCCGGCTCCGGGCTGCGCCTCCCCCACCCCGCGCGTGCTGAGGGCGCATGTGGGGGGGGGGGCGGCGGCTCCAGCTCCGCACCGGCCCCTCCTCGCCTCTGTCCCCAGGGGCTGGGCTGAGGCGCCCCCAGGGGTGCCGAGGACACGCTGATGAGCCTGGGGGGGGGGGGGCAGCGCGGGCTCCCCGTCACCAGCAGAGGGGCGCGGCAGGCTGCGGCGGGGGCTGAGCCGGAGGAGAGGCCGCGAGGGGGCGGGAGCTGAGCGGAGAGGGGAGGGGGGACGAGGAGTTGAGGGTATCTGAGGTGAAACGGGGCGGAGCCGGCGCGAGGAAGGGGTGGGCGGGAGCGGAGGCGGCGAGGCGCGCGGGGGAGGGGGCGAGGGTTTGCGGCCCGTGCGGGGAGGCGGGGGTGCAGTGGGAAGAGGCTGAGCGGGGGAGGGGGACCCTGGTGGCCGCTAGTAGCCGGCCAGGGGAGGGGAGGGAAGGGGCGGGAGCCCCGGCTGTTTACGAGGCGGTGGGGACTGGACCAGGGGGCGGGGGGACTGGAACACGGTGTGCAGCAAAACAGGGCCCGGAAAGGCTGCGGGCAGCCCGCACCCCAGCGCCCGCAGCTGACAGACAGGGGTGGGGAAGCTCCCTGGGGAGGGGGGCCGGGGCGCCCCCAGCATCCATGGCAAGGGCTGATCTCGCCCTCTTCGGGCACATGGGCCAGCCTGGCCCCCTGATTGCGCTGGGGCTTGACAGCCATCCAAGGAGGGTGTTATACCCCCACCCCAGTAGGTGCCTGTCAATCACTAGCCTCCTCCACGTTTGCTCCGTTACTGTCCAGCCCGGCCACACGCCATCGCCCTCATCCGGCGCAAAAACAGGGTACCGGCCAAACCGCTCAGGAGAGGGTTAAAGCGGATTCCGCTGCGGCTCCGCAAGGCGCGCCCCACAACAAGCCGAGGGGACAAAGGGAGAGAACATTTACACGGAATGACATTAACAGGGATGGTGGCCCGGGGCCAGAAGTCAGCCAGCAACCTTAGCTGTAAGAAAACCCAGCAGTTGGTTCCCCTCCCCCGCCCTTCTCTGTCTGTCTGTCTCTGAGGTGTAGGTGCTAATTTCAGTGCGGCTCACGTGGGCTTAGGCGCCCTGAGCTCCGTGCACGAGCTGGGGGCGGTCTCACCAGCCCCCGATCTAGGGCAGTTTGTTCAACTGCAGTAAAGAGGGAGCTCGATGTTCCAGCAGCGAAGGGATTTCTGAGAACTGGGACTGTGTCCTCAGCTGAACTCCACTCCTCCACCTCCCCCTCCCTTCTGCTGCCTGCAGAACAGCTTTAAAAGGGCAATGCCTGAGCAGCCTGGCTGCGATACACGTACATCTGCAGCCTGCAGTGCAGTTTATTAGCGCTGTCCCCACCGAGCTTCACTCTGCAGTGAAGGGAGCTGGTTTGGATTTATGCAAGCTACGGGGGTGGGTTAGGAAATAAGCTCTGCTAAGATTGCTATGACTGTAAGTGGGGACTTTTCTCTATATAAATAGTGCAGTTTTTGCACCACCTGAATTGTGCTGCATGCAGGAGCTATGGCCTTTCATCTCCTTCATCCTACATCTACATTGTATTTTATTGTTTCTGCAGTTCTGCTATATAGTATATTTTTGTTAAAGCTCCCTACTGTAACAGCAGCCCCACTGGACACAAACGGGTCAGACCATTCCACTCTGAATTACATTCATGGTTTAGTCTGCATATCAGATCTTTTCTCCTTTGCGTCCCCTCTTGCCCCACCAGTGATACCAACCTCCCTGCCCTCTTTGTTTCCATCTCCTGTCCCCCTGCTTTCTTCCTTGCTGCCCTCTATGCTTGGAATGTTCTCCCAATCCTTCTGCAGCAGGCTTCACCCTCTACTTATTCATATCCCTCTTGATGAGGTATCCCTTTCTCCCCACAAGGAAGCCCAGACAGGAGAAAAAAAAAAAAAAAAAAGAAAGAAACCTATACTAGCCCCTTCCCCAGCCTCCTAGGGTATGTCTACCCTGGGGAAATGTATGGCGTTAGAAAAAAATATATAAGCTAACATGATTTAGCAACTAGCGTAGACAAAGAAAAGTCATGTTTAAAAAGGTGTTAACTCATCATAGTTAACCCTGGGGGGAGGGACGGGGTGTCCATATAGGGTTTACCACAACCAGCTTTTTTTTTTTTGGACAGTGTTAAACTTTGTCTACATCAGCATTTTGAAAAAAATGTTAGCTATAACTGGAGGGATTCTCCCAACCACAATGGCTCCAGTACACCGTACAGTATCTGTCACAAGCCCTGGTACCGGGGACATGAAGTACAGGCCCACAGCATATAGTACCACAGGCTTCTTGATATCTGTAGAACAGCCCAAGGAAGCTGCTACAACTTAGTAATTTAAAGCCACCTATGCCCTCCCTTCCTCAGGTAGATGTAGCACAGAATCTCAGCTCATATTTTTAATCATGAGCTATTTTCCTAGTCTAGGCATGACCACAGTATAGACAAGGCACTACTGTGGTTTATCTTATGTGGCTTTCAGGCCATACCTACATTAAGAAATATTTTCCAGAAAAATGTCATCCATGGGAAACCTAGCATAGGCATACCTCCAGTAGCTTCTCGTTTTCTCCAATGGCCTCCAGCATTCTTACCATGATGTCTGTTTAACTGATATAGTGGTAAAAACTGGTCTGGCTGTGGCAGTTGTGTCCACAGTAGGATTCCCACTAATGTGGACACAGCCTTTCAGCGTAAGCTTCTCAAGGCAGGGAAGATTTTTGTTGATTGTACAGTGGTGAGCACGTTAGGTCTTTATTTTTTTAATTCAGACTCAGAAATATAGTAAACCACTCTATAGAGATCAGTCATCTCATTCACACGATTTGCCAAGTTACAGTAGCTTAATCCATTTCATGCCAGCCCTCTTCATACCAGTTTTTAAAAAGACTTGAAACATTCCAAAACCTTTGTATGGTTCCTACATAGATTGCCATTCATAAGTTTGTCTGAGGGGATAAACTTGTACATCAAATGGTCATTTCTTCACTCATACTCTAAAGCCATGAAGGCAAAATTGCTCACTCCTGCTTTACATTGATCTGAATCCTGCATCTTACTGTGAAGTGTTTGCTGCTTCCCCTTTGCCCCATCCCCACAGTGGTCTCCCTGATAAGGCATAGGAGTATGGATCACTTGTCCTGACCTGAATCATTATCCATTTCTTCCTTTATCCATCATGAGGTCATCATTCTCCTCTTATATACTTCTCCACAGCAGACAGCTACTATTACTGTGCACTTCCTCTTGGTCAGAAGAACAAGCAGCATCCCCAAACAGTGCACTGCTAATGACCTCAACCCTAACATGAGTAGGCTTAGCTTCTCATGAAGAAGAAGTAATTTAGCACAGCTGGTGGCCTGTGTTGCAGGTTTACAATGTGAACACCTGTCCATTACACACTGATTCAAGGCCATCAACATCAATTTGGATTTGAACCTTGATCCTTAACAAGCAAATGCCATTTGCCCATTAAAGCACTCAGGTTTACAGAAGTTTTGTTAGAGGGGTATTAAGTTGTATCCCTGCAAACTAAGATAGTCAACCTTGGTAACTAAAATATTAATGCATTTTAAATATTGTAACAAAATAAGTCAGGCACTTTCTAAATTCAATATTGAGTTACAGGTCAAATGGCATGGATGTTTTGTAACTCGCATCTAAGGTTTCTGTGCCTGGATGAAAACTGCTATATTGATAAGATATGAATACAGCTACAGTCAAGCCATGGTCTATATCCTTGATTTCCTGGGAAGACCGGGTTACAAACAGTGCTAGTGTGCCACAAGTAAATCCTACCATTTAGAAAGACATGGCAGTAATGATTACTCAGTTCCAGAAAGTATCAATATCTACTTACAGCAATTAGTAAGCCTTTTGAGCTTAGACTCATATTTTTTCCTTCATGAAGAGAACATGCATTTTGGAGGCATATTGGAAGTTATTAGACAGCTCTATAGCCACTGACTTTGCCACAGAATCTTCCTTTGCCTTCAAACAATAAGGCAATAGTTCAGCTTAAAAAAAAATATCTAGTTGTAAGAAGGGTGGACTCACCAGTAGAGCTCCCCTCTTGCAGCTGCCTCTCCTCCACCTATGGCCCCTAGCAACAGTCACTATGGTCTTTCAGTGGTCTGCTTCTTCTTGTGATTCTGCCCTTCAGCCATTTTAGTCCCACTCTTTCCAGGTGGGCAAGCATCCAAACAAATACTAGTCCCCATCCTTACATGCGGTCCTTGGTCCTCAGTTCTGGACCCTGCACTCTTTAGACCCCATCTCTCAGGCATTTTAACTGTCCTTATCCCTTTATGTCAGGGGAGCTTTACACCACTTTCCCAGTGGCTGGTAGGGGAACCAAGGCCCATCCTCTATACTGGGTTCCAGTCCAGGGACCCTCAAACAAGCAAGCAAGGTCTGCTCTGTCAGACACCTTACAGCTGCCTCTCTGAACTCCTTCCTACCATTAGCCTCTCTTCAGGCCTTTTCCCCAGCCATTTCCTGGGCTCTTTGTAACAACCCTTCCCTAGACTTCTCCCTGGAAGTGCAGTTCTTATCAACATGTCAGGGTCAGTCACAGAAGCTTGTTCCAACCCTGAGGTATTTTCTCTTTATAGGCTTCCTCTGCACCTACAGGACCTTTCCTGTTACCACAGCATGCATGCTCTTGCCCCTTCTCTCTCCCCTACTGCCACCACCATGACTGCAAAGTTCCTCCTTCTCTCATACAGCCCCCTTCCCCTGCAGACTTTCTGCTGTTATAGCAGCTTCCCAACTGAAACTCATCATTAAGTGGGGCTGGTCCACTCTCCAGGTGCAGCCAGGGGGGCTTGAGGCCAATTAAACCACATTAACCCTTGCTGAGCTAGAATGGGGTATATATCCCCATTTGCACTAGTCCTTATGCTTGTGAAGACTCCTTCCATCTGTGAGCAGAATATAAATTAATGCAGTCATCTTCCAAGTCTGCAGAATGCCTGAAACAATAGCTCTAAGAGCCCCTTCCTTTAAATAAGATTTAATGCTGAAGACTCATTTCAGCAATGTAAATGTTAACATTAACTATTTCACTTCTCACCAACTGTAGAGACAGCAGGCTCTGCTTTGCAAGGGCTCTGGCTGAATTACATTTTGGGAATGTGGGTGTGTGCGTCTAGTAAACACTAGAGATTGACTGAAGTAAGACTAG